GTTAGATAAATGTTGTCTTACCACATTTAGTTCGTTCTGCTCCATTTTTCTACTTGCAATTTGCATAGTAGATTCTGTTCTCTTACATTTCCTTCAAAAATACTGTATTGAAATGTAGAAACATGTTCTCATCTTGACTTACAGTCTGAGCAGCTGAGCACATTAAATAAAAAACTCTTTTCACAGCAGCTATTTTGTGGGTATTATGCAAGATGTTCTGTGCTTTGATGTAACAACTTCTAAATAAAGTGAATTGCAACATGAATTTATAGCAAAACTTTATGCACTTAGTAAAGCATGTTGGAGATGGGGAAGAGAGCAAGCTGTTGTAAACTCCTATAAAGTACAGAAAACTTCTGCTTTCCCTCCATTCTAACAAGTGTAAAACTATTGAGGTTAAGTAGGTGGGGCAACCGGAAGTAATTGCTAAGGCCAGTGGCATTTTTGTGGTTTAATAAAGGCAGAAGCTAATTATTCAGTTTTTATTTAAGTGAAATGATGCCAAAAAGGAGGTTCCTGCAGAGCAGCTGCAGTCCTTCAGTGTTACCCTAATTTACCACAGACACAACTGTCACATACAGAACTTTTAAATTTGATATATAGCCACGAAAGTAAGGAGCCCTTTGTCTGGAATGCATGCAGAAGAACTCCTTTATACAAATCAACCGGCAGATGACGGACAATGATGAAAATTTGATTCTTTGAAGTCATAATGGTCATTGAAATGTGTGAAATTCTGGTATTGAAAAGAGAGCGGCTAGCAAGACTCTAAATCCTGGGTGGTTGCTGGAAGCTTGCTGGGAGGTTTTTCTGTGTTTTGACATCAACTTCCCATTGCTTGTTCCCTGTTTCCTTTATTTAAAAAAAAAAAAAAAAAAGGGGGGGTGCTAAACTATAGATAGTTAATAGCGGTTATGTACAGTTTCTGTCTATGTGGTGAAAGAAATGCCATAGAAGAAACATGACACCTTCAGGCGCACCTGACCCATCTATTCAAAAACACTTGTTTTCAGAGATACTTTCAATCATTTTGTCTCTTTTCCATTAATTAGAGAGTTCCATTTCTTTTCCCCTTTGGAATTTGTGCTATTAGTGGAGTACTTAAAAGAAGGAAATTCTCATTTCCTTTAAAAGTCATCTCCATGCTGAATAGTGCTTTCATTGACACTGCCTCTGTGAATCAGTTTTTCTCTCTGCTGTGCAGCACACTTATCATTTCTTATTACCCTTCCCAGACCAGTTTTAGCAGACTTTCCGCCATGACAAATATTCTTAAATAGTGTAAGTTATAATAAACACAAACCCAGCTATATTTGTAAGCAATTTTATGTGATTTCTGCTGTTTTTAAAAAAAAGTGTTTAGTCCCTTTCAGCTTATTCCAAGAAGAGACAAAATGCCTCAAAACAAGTGTTTACATTTTCTTGAATTATAAGAAGAAATCGAAATAAAGCCCAGTTTATATATATGCATTTATATATATTAAGAAAAACAGAATGTCAGAATGCACCTTTTATATGATAGCCTGCTTTAAAAATGAGAACCAGGGTTATTAATTTTTAGTAAAGCAAAGTTAATTTTAGTAAAGTAAAATACAGTTAAAATCTTAACTCTTTTATATTGTCATCTAATATATTTAAGGTTTTGAATGCTGAACATCTCATTAGTATCTTAATATGCTAATATAGCAAAATTCATTAAGGAACACTTAAAGAGAAAAGATAGTAATGTGAAAAACATCTGTCAAAAATATCTTTGTTTTGCAAAGTTGGTTCACAGGTAGTTTCAATGAGAACTTGAACTCAGAACAAAGCACTGAAGACCCAGTAAAGGGTTCAACCCAGTGCAGCATAGTTCTTTTCAAGTATTATATTGTTTTAATGGCATCTTGGAGCGGGAGCTTTAGCCCATTGAAATGTCGCTTAAAGGACAGGTTCTTCTGTCACTAGCTGGAGCTGTGTGGATGAAATGATCACAATAGAGTGTTGTAATGCATTTTAAAAGTGTGAGAAATCAGTTTGTCTAGACTAAGAGTACGCCTACAGGGAATAGGAATTTTAGAGCTTCTGTGCTCTTTAGGTGTCAAGTATGTGATAGATGCCAAGCCTTTTTATTCCATATCTTTGGCAACAGCTCAGCTATGCTACAGTACCTTACATATCTGCAGCAAGCAAAACCAGTGATTTTATGTCAGGACAACTTGGGCTTCAGCAACCAGAAACTCATTGTCCTAACAACTGTGTTCAATTGCCAGCTTTTAAAAAGGGGAATGTATCAATAAACGATTGCTAGATTCCCAGAAGGCATGGAAACTCTAGCTATAATGAATCTCAGTGTGGAGAGCTAGCAACACCACATAGATATTCTGGTTTTGGGAAGCAGGCAGGTTTTAATTTTCATTTTGAAAAGATTTTTATGGGACAAATCCTGTATTATTAGTGAAATAACGTTGGTTTGGAGCCAACTGAATGCCTGAAAAAACATGGCTTGAAGGGTTTGTCTGGGATTTTGGTTTTAGTTTCATTCAGATGAACAAGTCTAGGCATTTCTTTACTATGGTTACCTCATAAATATAGCATTTGCTGGTTTTAACCCTCTCTTTAGATTGTATTCTGTATTCACTAATATGTAGTACTTTTATGATTCTCTGGTGTGAAGGCTTCAAAAGAGGCGATTGTATATGTCCATAATGTTACTTAACAGAGTATCTTATTTTAGTAGTTTAGATCATTCTGGAAGAATTCAAAAACCTCTAAATCTCAAGCATAAAGAAATTTATAGTTGTCTTTCAAGTTGCTGAGAATAATAATAGCTGAGAAAAAAGTAATTTTGAGGTATATTGAAGTTTGCATAATCTGAAAGTATTTGTTAACAACCCCAGAATTTTTGCATGTAGCAGATTGTTTGAGAGGGGAAAAAGAAATATTTTGTCAATAGTTTTACATTTTCTCAATGGTCACATTTGTTAAATACAGAAATAAAAGGTAATATGTTAGCCTATTCCTATATATAGGCAAGCTGAAGCATTGAATCCCCACCAAACTTTACTGCAGGTAAAAACCCCTTTTTGTTAAGCAAAGCATTTTGCCAATTCAAATCAGAAAACTTTAAGCAATTTCCTTTTAAACCAGTGGTTAAAGCTTAAGCAGTGAGAAATGCCAGTCTATCAGAAGGTATTTTACATATGTGTTGCAACAGTGTGTTGTGGCTGGTAATGCTTCTCTTTCATATCACTGCTAGACTTGGATTAAAAATAAGCATGACTTGGTTCTAATGAAAGTATTTGTAAAGGAATTATTAAGATATTTTGACAGTTCCTTGGGATAGTCTGGGTAGAAATGTCAGAAGCTGGAAAACCTGTATGCATACTTGTTTGTTGCCCCTACAGTTCCAGTTGCAAATACAAGTCAGATGCTTTAAACTTGGTCCCGTTTGTAGCGTTGAGGGACTGATCTCTCAAAATTTATTTTCTGATGTAAAATGGAAAATGAGAACTGCCACATTTCAAAGGATGGTGTTGTGATCGCATCAAGAAGTTTTTTAAGGTTGCCACAAAACAAAATCCCATAAAGTTAGTAAGTACAGTTGTGTAAAGTCACAGTGTTTTATTTGAACTTGTTTGCCTTTTCATTCAAGTCATGGCAGTACTGCCAAGTTGAGTTCAATATGCCCAAAGTTGTGATGCACTTTTCTGGACTTTTACCAGTTTACTGCTTGTTCCTGGAGAGAGAGAAGGAGAGGGGAGGGCTGGGAGGGAGACTGAGGAGCTCCCACTGGCCTTTTAAGTATGTAAGGAAAAGGAGCAGTTTAGCTTCCTTAGAGATGGATTTGATGTTTGATTTCACTCTTTACTAGTGTGAACTGACAGGTTAATTTTATATAATTACTGTTTAGTTTTTAGCGAGAATGTTCACTTTAATTATATCAGATGCTGCTGAGGGTAATTTTTCACAGCAATTCAAGTGAGGCTTTTCCCTATCTTATTCTTTGTTAAAGTCAGTTAATATTTTTAGGCTGATTTTGTGATGCTTCAATTTTTATCTTTGTTAGGTTTATTTCTGGAGGCCCTCAACAAGGCTCATGCCTCTCTAATGGAGGGAGGCATCCTACTACTGCGTATATACAATGTTACAAGTCTTTTTTTTTTTCTTTGAAGGTTGGAATCTCCTGAATCCTTTTGTCCTTCACAAAAATACTGAAGAATGTTATCAGTGTCAAATGTTCCTCTCTTGATCTTGAACATCAACAGAAGAACTGACTCTCAAAAGCTGATAGTCATAGCTTGAAACATGAAGAGGGCGTCAATTTTCTGTAATAACAACTGTCTAAATAAGGGAGCTGAATTCTAGTACCTGCTCTGCAGTCTCAAACAGTCAATAGACTATTGTGTAAAAGTTACTACTGTCTATCTCCTCCTTCATGCTAAGCACAACTTCTTAAGTAAGCATGGATGCTGGTATTTCTTATTATATACAGAGTTAAAGCCCAAGGGAAAGCACTTGTACTGCAGCATATATTTGACTGACTATCATTTTGGTGAATAGTCCTGTTCATATGAAGTTTAGGCTCCTAATGGTAATGTAAAATTTTGGAATTTGTTGATGTTTCAGTCTGTGCCCTAATATTTTCTTTAAGGAATAAATAAGAGTTTACACATATCTGCATTTCCTTCATCTGGTGCAAGTTGAAGCAGGCCTGACCTTGCAGTGGACAGAGAAGGATGTGGGGAAATGTCCTGTCCTCTCCTCTGGCACTAGATGTTTTGTAGCTGGGAGATGAGCAGGTTCAGGTAACTTATCCACGCAAAGTCTAATTCAGCCAGGGGAAGTAGGATGATAGCAGCCTTAACGTCTGTTGTCTTCACTTTTATTTAACTGAACTCATAATGTTCTCTGCAAATTTTTTCAGTTTTTGTAACTTTATGTAAAAGGCATAAGGAATACTATTTTGCAAGCCTCTTATGCAAACAGTTTTTTAACAAGTCCCATTATGTTTTTCTTAGGATATCACTGCTTTAACTGGTGTTCCAGATGAGCACATCAAAACCAGGAAAGTTCACATTTTTGTTCCAGCACGTAATGCAATGCAGTCAGGACTTAACAATACAAAGAAATGGAAGATGGAATTTGATAACAGGGAACGCTGGGAGAACCCTTTAATGGGCTGGGCATCTACGTGAGTACTCACTGAATTTGAAAATACTTTTCTTCTGTATTCAACCCTTACTAGTCATGCAAATTTGAAATCTTCTTTGTACCTGTAAAGCTAATTATGTTTTTACAGTACTTACAGTAAGTGGTTGAGTTTGTTTCTTGTATGATTAATGATCTGTTAGGTTTAAAAGCCGATTTTAGCTCACAACATCATCTGGAAGAGTTTAAAAAAGGTGTTAACAACCAGAAATTTCAACAGTTACATTTGTGGTGATGTTGCTGTGTGGCATCAGCAGGGCCAGAAGATTATTAGTTACCTAAAGCAATAAATATTCTCAGCTCTCACTTGCATCTTTTAAACATAAACAACAAAACTTAACTTCTGGATTTTTTTTTTTACAAAGTTTTATAAATATCCTGAAGATCTAAAATGAGGAGACGTAAATAATTTGAAAAAAACCCAAATCCAGCAGTTTAAAAAATTACTGTTTGATTAAATAAATAAACTGTATAATTAAAAATAAACTTTGTTTAAATATTGCTAATACTAATATTAAAACCTCTTAAATACACAAAAAATCCAGGAAAGTACTACTCTTAGCTCAGTATGCTGTAATTTGGAGACGTAAGTATGACTTGGATGCTTCTAATTTTTAATTCTTTTTTCCTTGTATAAATACATTACCTACATTTCACAGTGTCGTTAGAATTCCTGTAAGCTGTGAGGACTATGCCAGCAATTCCTCTGACAATATTGTAATTTTGATTTTACACTGTCTTTTTTTAAGCATATTCAGAATAGTTACTTGTTGTACATAAACCAAGATCAACTGCTAGAGATTGTTTTTCAAACTTCAGAAAGGATACAATGTGTATTGAAAAAACCTGTCTGCGATCATATTAGCACATATGATCTAAGAATGTAAAGTTCTGTGAAAAACTTTAACACCTTAAATATGAAATAACTTGAAGATCCATTTTTTTGAGATTTTTTAACATTCTAAATCCAGTCACTGATTTTTTTTCTTTTTTTATTTGTAAAATAAATGTATCCATGAATATTAGATCAAAATAAGTGTGAAATCAAGTCTTCCTGTTATGTTGATTTCTCATAAAAATTTGAGGAGACTCTCATGCATTTTTATTTTGGAGTAGGGAAAGGAATTTCTCATGTATAGGCAAGCTCCAGGTAGATAAAAGCAAGTGCTCCATTGAGAATTGACTCTAGTATGTTAAAGCTTTTGTAAATTAGTTTGTATCCACTCATTTTTAAGGCATTCTTGCAAAAACTGCTAGTGGGCAAGTTAGTGAATGGTAACTCTGATGTTACCATTCAACACTCAGAAGAGTGTTTTTCTCTTGAGATTTAATTTCTGCAAATGGCAATTTTTAGACACTTTTCCATTTACTTTTGAATAATGTAATGGGATTAGTGGATTAGAACCGTTCAGGGTCTAGAGGTTAAAGCCATTTTTCCTCTAAACACTATATACTTATTTACCTGTCTATATTTGCTATGTTTCTGTCATGTTACAATCTTCTTTGGGGTTTTTGTTGTATTTGTTGTTTCTCGGATACTGGGACTTTTCTCAGTGAAAATTGTCCAGTTGTAGATCTGAGCATGGACCCATGGCATTTTTCCTTAACTGGGAGGTTTTGTCACAAGAATGCCTAGTTCTTCAGTACACCTTTTAATATAAAGATGTAAACAAAGAAACATGGGAAGTGCATGGCATCCATTGTACAAGATCTCAGAACAAAATATGGGATCCCAATTTTTAATGCCTGATAGAACAACTGGGGGCAGGCATAGGAAATCCTGTACCACTGGTACTGCTGACACTGTGGGGACATCATGCCAGACATCATGAACTCCAGTTTACTCATATGGATAGAAGTAATCAGATAGAATCAAAGATGATTTCACATGAAAAGAGAACAAATAATTTCTGAAAAATCCTAATTTCCAGGACAGCCTCTGTCTTGGAAGGATTTGCCAAATTTGCACTCAAAGTTGCAGAACAGGCACTGGTCCCTCGCTACATTTCAAACTTAAAACTTCTTTGTTCCCGCTTAGTAGTGTTGAGAAGATTTTTCCAAACCCAGTCATGGAGGAGAATAATGATTAGCAAAAGTTGTCCCAGTCTTGCAATATACTTGGACCACTTGATTCGCCAGTGATCGTGTCATGAACAAATTCTTGGTTCCTAGTTTTCCTTACTGCCTCTATAAGAGAAATCTTTAAATGTCTTTAAGAGAACCTGTCATGGTGGCTTGCAAAAGTATAATTTCTGTCTTTATTGTGTTTTGTTTGTTCGTTGTGAGGTTTTGAGGGGAGGTTGGGTTTTGGGGGGTTTTGTTGGTTTTTTTGGGGGGGAGGGGAATGTTTGTTTTTTTTCTTACGATTTTTTTGGCTTTGTTTTGCTTTTTTTTTTATTATTGGAGGATATATTGGATATATAGTGAACTGCATTTTTCCATGTGAACATCAGACAAAATTACACTGTTGTCTTTGCTGCAAGCTAGATTCCCCCTTCTTCCCCTCCCACTCCACCAGTCACAGGCTTTGTCCTTTATTGTAGAGAGTTCAGTGTATCTTTGGTTGCTTTTTTTCTTCATTTATCCTTCTGACTTCAAAGAGAGAACAGTTGAGAGGCAGGTCCTGCAATAGTTTGTTGCAATTTGGTCTTGTCATCCCAGTTGTCTCCCAGGCTCATAGACATGTTGTCTCAGGGAAGCTTTATCTAATCTTTGGGTTGCGACAAGTAGTATTTCATTTTCTCATTTCTTTAAAAGTTAGAACCCCCTGCTTTTTCCATGCTTTGTCATTGTTTTTAAATTGAGCTTTCATAGCAACAAAAAAGGCATTTTAGTGTTTTAACTGAGATTTTAATTTGTTTCAAAAAGCTTTTTGCTGTTTGATTCCTTCAAAAGTGCAGATGAAGAATAGTTGGTCCTCTAAAACTAACCACTGTGTATTTAGTTAGCTAGCAGTTTGCATTTTGGAGCTTCATTTTTGGTGGGGGCTTGTGATCTGCTTGCTGTACTGAATTGATTTGTGGAGGTCATGTGAACTCAGCCAAAGCAGAACTCTTAGTACTTTTTAATGTACTTTTCAGTCTCTGATTGCTGCTGCTCACTTCAGTATTTTCCTCTTTTTTCTTAGAGATTATTCTTCCCCTAGCTGCTCTACAGACTCTTGGTCTCTTTGAAATGTTCAGAATTACCTTAAGCCTCCTGATCTTCCACAAAGAGCTTTAAAATTAAAAAGATTGTGTCAGAGCACTTATTATAACCACAGAAAGTCATTAGATACGTTTGTCTAACAAAAAAACTGATGAATTTTTGGAAGTAGTTGTGAGGGAAGTTTAAAGGACTAAAGGGGTGAAACAATACTCTGCAGAAAGTAAGTGTTGATGCTGAAAAGGATTAAAAATAAAGTTATTTTGAATGGTTTGTAAGGTGATGTACTACAGAGGGTTGTGCAATACAGCATTTGACTGGCATTTGAGGTACAGATACAGTTGTTTTCTATTTCAAATATGCCTAAAATTTGTCATCTGATTTCTTACAGAGCTGATCCTTTATCCAACATGGTTCTTACTTTTGCTACTAAAGAGGATGCCATTGCCTTTGCTGAAAAAAATGGTACGTATTGTATGTGTGTGTATGGAGGATTCATCCTTCCATAGGCAATCTTAATCTCCAAGTATTGACAATAGAAAAAGTACAGGATAAAGTACCTTAGTCTTCTATTCCGCAAGATTTATAGACCATTAGTGTTCTGCATGAGGAAGAGGAAAACGGGAATAGGGGCATGTTTCTAAGGGTACTGAAGGCATTCCACTTTCTGGAAAGGTGTTCCAACCTCTTACAGAAACTGTCAGAACCCTTGTGAATGTTTGATAATCAGAAAAACTAAAATTAAATGACTACCAATTAAGCATGTTGGGCTTCAGTTTTGGCTGAGTTGCAGCGTAGATTTGTTACAGAAGGAACAAATCAGGATTATGCTGCTCCTCATAGGACTATGTAAAGGTAAACCATATGACTAAGAGGATTGTCCAGATGCGCCTTGAACTCTGGCAGTCTTGGTGTCCTGGTCACTTTCCTGGGGAGCCTGTTCCAGTGACCAGCCACCGTTTCAGTGAATAACCTTTTCCTGATGTTGAGTCTGAGTTTTCCCAGATGCAGCTTCATTCTGTTCTTCATGTCCTGTTGCTGGTCACCAGGGAAAGATTAGCACACCCCCTCTGCTGCTCCCCATGAGGAAGTTGTAGATTGAAGATGTTTTGTCTAAGTCTTCCCAGCACTACAGTCTAAACACTTGCATTTGATGATTGTTCATATTTGAGAAAAAGAGAGTAGAAAAGCCAGCATTGTTGCTTAATATTTTTCAAACTGATGATGTATCAGAATGAATGTATCTGTAAACTTATTTAGGTATTTAGGCTTGTATTTTCTCACAGAATGATAGTACCACAGGCAGTATCCACAATCTCAGCCTTTTGAAAATTCAGCAGTCCTTTTTTTGTGTTGACATGAATTTTATGCTGCTCTTTTCTTTTTTTCCCCTTTTTCTTTTTTTTTTTTTTTTTTTTGGAAGGGGGTGGTTTTTTGTTTTGATTTTTTTGATTTTTGTTTGTTTTTAAATCAGTTCCATTTGCCTTAAAGAGTTAGTCTTGATGCTTAGTGCTTATGGGTGTGAAGAAGATTATTATACTGAGTTAAAGCCAGGAATAATGCACATGAAGGGTAAGCTCTTCAGAAGTCTTCCCTATGGTCTCCAGCTTTCAACTATGTTTAGTCTGGGGTAAATAGTAAAGTTTCTGGGCCAGACTAAATATGCAGAGTTATTAGATGGCTGGTGTACACCCCAAAACCATAGTAAGTCCATTAATGTATACATCTAAGAAACTAGGACATTTAATGTGCAATGTATTTGCACTTTTTAATGGTAAAGGCTAGTAAGGCTATTATTTAATCTGTCAGTTCCTCTTTGAATGGATTTTGGGGTGGGGGGACTTAATAGTCTTAATTTTATTGAAAAATAAATTGTGTTCACCAAGAAAATAATAGAATTATCATATTTGCATTGGATATACAAATTACAGTGCAATTTTATTAGTATTTTGTATTTTTTATTAACAAATATGAATTTTGGGAGAATTTGGTATTGCTTCATTTATCCTTCTATATTGTTCATGTTACTTCTTGAGCAATTCAGCCTGTAAGAGAAAAAATAATATAATGAGCTGCTTATGCCATCTCTTTGTAGGTGTTATATTTTGCCCTTTCTAAATGCAGATTGTAAAATACATTTGTTCAGTATAGAAAGTTTATGCCTTCACTGAGTTAGAAATTACTCCATTGTGTATGAAATCTACAAAAAAATTCTACCAACTATACAAGGTTGTGGCTTGGTTTTAATATTAGTAGTTCAATATTCACTTATCTTGCACTTTTAATTTTACCATCATTGAAATGGACTTTTCTGTAGATACTGGCTTAAGATACTTCCGTAAGAACCCTAAGTTTAATTTCTGCAAATTCAAGATACTGCAGGTTCTTTTGGTACACTTAAAAGTTCCTTCTCACCTAAGAACTTCAGGAGCATAAGGCAAGCTATCTTTCTGCCTGTCCCATCTGACACATTTTCTGATGTTGAAATAACAGCACTGGTTTCAGTAACAGAGATCACTGTCCAAAAATTACAGCTGAGAAGGGTCTAAGGTTAAGGCAAGGAGGTAACACTTTTAACTGGATGAAATTAAAAGTTCTGCCTGTTGACCTAAATTCTTTTTTGTCCTGACATCACTGAGGCAGTTGTTTAGAAACATACAACTTAGGTAACAAGGATGAAGAGTTTTCTACTCTGCAGTAACCTTTAGTCAAGTGGTGAGGGTGTTCTTCTGGAGACTATGATATCTGCTGGTGTGGCAGGGTTCTGGGCAAGAATAGCTTCCCCCATCATTGTGGTATTTTTATAAAAGTGACCTCTTCACTTGGTCACAAGCAACTCAAGGTGCCTGACTGAAGGAGTCTGTTCCAGAGTGTGAAACCTACTCACATGTGGTGACCTCTTGGAATCGTTAGTTATATGTAACTACCCTTATGCATTTTGGATAACTATGTCAGTCCAAGTTGTTGTGCTGGCAGTTGTGAATCTCTTCTAGAGGCACTTGGCCCCTCTCCATCTAGTGTATAAAAAGATGAAGCAATACCTTGGGGCTGTAGATTCCATTCCAGCAGCCAAGTGCCTCAGTGTTAGGTGTTATAATGCTGAATGTTGCAATACTGAAGTCTGTCTCTGGATCTAGTTCTGGCTGTTTACTCAAGCTTATATTTTTAATGAGAACAGGAGACAAAAGCCAGTGTTCTCACAGATGGAAAGAATATGTTTTTAAATTCTGTCTTCAGTATTTTTTATGGAGAATAGTTAAGTTGAAAATTAACACTGATTGAGACTAATAAACAGGAAGAAAATGTTTGAGTAACATTTGTGAATATACAAAATTGAGGCAGTGACATGACAACTTGTGTATCTTACAGAACATTTTGATGTTTAGGTGTATCCTGAGTGTTTTCTGTGATCACCTTACGTAGAAGAATTCAGATATATGGAAACATTTTAGGACTTAAAGTTTAAAACTAAGGAAGAAAAGTACTATATTATGAGTGTCACTTAAAACTGCATATTTAACCACTTCTATCTTCAAATGAAGTATCTCTGCTTTGAGTGAAGTATTGCAGCTAAAGAGACCAAACTTTGGAATACTGAGTGCTGCCCTGGCAACTTTCCAGGCACCTGGAGGCTGCAACCAATTTGCATTTTGATTTACATAAACACTAATGTCTCCACCTCCTCTTTTCTGACATTTTTAAGCATTTCTCTTGCTTAACTATCACATAATTTACTTGTCTTCTATCACTTCATTCCCTTTTCTTTTATTCCTAATTTTTTATGTTCTTACAAAAATGTTAAGTATTAAACTCCTTTCTAATGCTGAAGTTTTTTCTTCGCTCTTCGTTGGTGTTTTTTTGTGGTTTTTTTTTTTGGTTTTTTTTTTTTTTTGTCTTCCCACCCTTTTTTTTTTTCTAGCTTTCCAAGATCTCCATTCTCTATCAGCCTTTGGGGTTGATCTTCTGCGTGTTATTTGTTGTCCATTTTCTTATCTTTTTCATTTCCTGTGCCAGCGTACACAGAGTCTTATGCTTCTGTGATGGTATAAAGTTGTGGAGCCATGAACTTGCAGGACAGTCTGTGTTCCCTGTTGAGCTTTTCACTGATGACTGTCAGGTTTTTTGCATTTCATAGTATGGTGAAGTCTTATCAACTGAGAGAGTGGGCATTTGCCACATTTATGGCATTTCAGTGTTCTCTGCTGCCAAGTAGAAAGGAATAGATTAGTGGATGTCTATGTGGAGAAAAAAATATTAAAGTTAAAAGCTTTAAGTCGCATTTGCTCTGTATTGTATGCTGAGAATATTTTTAATTCTCGTTGTTTCTTGTTTCCTCCTGCCATTACCCCTGTAACATCCAGGCTGGAGTTATGATGTTGAAGAGAAGAAGATTCCAAAACCTAAATCCAAGTCTTACGGTGCAAACTTTTCTTGGAACAAAAGAACAAGAGTGTCTACAAAATAGGTTGGCATTGGCTGTGTGACTCTGAATACAAAGTCAGCTGTGCTATATTTATAGTCCATGTATAATACATCTCTTAATCTCCTAATAAATTTGACCTTTAAACTACAGATGCATCTTGTGATGTCTATTTAAAATGTTTTTGATGTCTTCAATTGAACCTGTTACAAACTTCCCTATAAATAGAGGAGATTTGGAGTGTTCATAGTTCTAAAAAATTGCTGTACTAGGAATCTGTCAAAAGAAATGTTTGAAATCAGCTGCAACTTTAGAGATTATGGTTGATCTTTGATAGTATTCTATATCCACTATCCTATTTAAACTTTTAAAGTTTAATAAGTTTAATAAGCTTTACATATACAAGTTTTTTCAAGAGAAGTGAGGGTTTTTTCTCTCTGTACGTGACAGTTTTGTCAGTTGAAGAACAAAAGATGGGTATAGAAGATGGATAATTCTGTATAAATATATATGATATAATCTCCTTTCTGCTCAAACTAATGCTGTCAACATTGCAGAATCATTCATGGCTGGAATAGAAAACACAGGATTTTTGTTTCAATATGGGGGAGGTTTAGTCCAAAAGATTGAGATTGCAGTTGTTTCTCTGTGATTCAAAAGTGAAACTAAGCCAGTTAAACATTCACAAATGAAGTCAGAATAGTGTAGGGTGCCTCACACAGTATCAGCATATACTAATTACATAATTATAGTTCTGTTTTTTTTATTGCTAGTTACATGTTTATCTGCATTGAGGTTTCCTGTTGCTTAACAGAAGATGTGGTGATAGCATCTGAGCCTTGACATCGAGTATATATTCCAAGCTCAGTTTATCTTCCATGACATCAAATTATTAATTTTTAAAAACTACAGTGTTACATTGGGAATTCTTGGCTACATATCTATGGCTGTTGCTTTATTCACTTAACAAATTACTGCTGTTGACCCATGATCAGTGCAATACGTTACAAACTGGGGGAGGGAACACCTTTTTCCTTATGCAGCTGAGAGTTTTATTACTACTGTCACCAAAGATATGGTTGAGACATGCCTTTCCTTATAGACCTAAATAACAGTGAAGGTGCTGTGCACTGAATTTTGGCAAAAAGAAGGCATAAAATTCTGTTGTGCTGCCCAGATTTTATTATATTATGTATAACATTCTTGTTTCATTTTTAACCAACTACCTTATATGCTGGCTAACATTCATTTAAAGCATTGGTTTTGACCCAGTTTCATTGTAATCCACCAGTTGAATGAAGTCGCTATTTTCCTTTTACAGACAAGAACTGTTACTCCAGTTCAGCTCCTGTTAAATTTTGAATGTTGCGTTGTGCAGTGGAGCCTGAAGTTCTCTGGGAATGCCCAAGTGCATTCCAAACTGGAATCTTAACAATCTGAACAGACCAGAGTCACTACATCTTTATGTATTCCAGTTAAGTTTAATACACTGATCTTACTAAGGAGACAGTAATAAGAAAAGCCGTTCTTTTTTTTTTTTTTGTCTTCTGTCTTTTCCAAGTAAAGAGCAGCAAGATCATAATTTAATTGTCTTCAAACTTTATCAGATTGTCAAAATGAGAAGTCCAGAGACATCTAATGCAGCAGAGACACAGCTGGGTTTTTGAAATTACGTAGTCCAGGGAAGTGAGTGTTAGATACCTAACATTATCTTTGGACACCTAACACATGAAATTGCTTTCTAAGTAAGAAAGTTTTTAATGTGTGGGGTTTTTTTTAGATGTGTAAGTTCATTATGATTCTGTATTATGCATGCCACCTTGAAGTCTTTAAGTTGTATTTGAGCCCAGACCTTCTTTTCCTTTGATCATTTCCCTAGGACTTGAATTTTTTCGATCCTGTTGGACTGTTTCTTAAGGATGATCATGGTGACAGTGGAATAGAGTTGATTATTGTCACTACAGTCTTCAGACCCTAGAAGTGATACTGAGGGCAAGAGCTTGGAGAGAATCAGCGGCAGCAGGAATATATTTTAGAGATAAAAAAAATCTTAAAAACCCAAACTTCCTTACACTTTCAGTAATTTACCAGATTATTGCAACTGTAGGTGGGAACTGAAATTTTACAAGATGGTCTGACCATCTTTAGTTAAGTATCTACAGTAGTGAATGTGAACTCCAGCTTTTATCTACTCTGCAATGTGTTGCGACAGGTAAAATTGCTCCTGAATCTCAAATGTGTCAAAACAAAAGGCACAACAGGTAAACTACCATAATTGGTCATTTATGATGAGTGAGGTTAGAAATTCATCTTGGTAGTAGATGTAGTTGTGCTGTTTGCAACTAATCCAGGCTTTTCGTGGAAGTAATATTTGAAACCTGTACCAAAATCATTACTGGGTAAAGAAAAAGTGTAAAGCTCCCAAGTCAACACAACGTGTTCTTTACGCAGTGGGATTTGCTTGTACCTCACGTGTCTTTCCACTTGAGATGGCAATAACAACCAAAGAGTTTTAAAGTTGCATGCCAGCATTGCAGAATAGTGTACCATAGATGTTACATTTACATTCCTGCATTGAGCTGCAGGAATTGAGGTGTTTTCTTTACAAACATTGAGGTGTTTTCTTTACAATTTTATAGTTTCAATTGCTGTGGAAAGCCCTGTGCAAAAATGGGCTGATGCAAAGTAGTTTATGCTTGAACTTCTGTAGGTATACTGTGTGAAGTACTGGAGGCAGAAGTCCACTGCTAGTCACAGTCCCTTCCCAGTTCTAGCAAATTAGTCCATGGAATTGCCAGTTTTTTGAGAAGGCTTATTATCTGTTGTTGCTGTCTCAGCCAGCTACGTGTATACTGAATTTTGAATTATATCTGTCAAGGCTTTGTGCAAGTTCCTTCTTTTAACAAAGAAGCAGCAACATTGTATTTTTCCTCCCATATGTACTACTTTTACTCCCATTAACTCTAAAAGGTATATGGCATATGCTTTTTTTTTCTTATAGTGTCTCTTGTCCACTTAAAATGTTCATACATGAGTTTTGAAAGGTTGGCCACTCCCCATATTATAATTTCTGTGTAAAACCAAGAACATTTTGGTGAAATTTTAACTTACTGATAAACTGCAGTTTCTTTATTTTACCCAACATTTGGACTTCCACCTTCTTGACACTTTTTCTCCAAGTTCCTTGCAATGAATTCGGTTCTGTTAAATGTATGCCTGTTTACATCAACTCAGTGATAAGCCACAGCAAAACAAAACCAAAACCAACCCTGTTTAGCTCTCTTCTGAATGCTCAGAATGGTCCTAATCTTTATGGCATGACAGTGGACGTAAAATACTGATTCTTCATATCCATGTTCATTGTGAAGAAAGGTAGAAGGGTCCCTGTCATGAACACTTCCTGCACAGAAAATGTGAATTAACACCTTTTTGGACTAGTTGATTAGAATAAATACAAAAGTCAGACAGTAGTCTTGTGAGAGTCCTGAAGGAATTAAAATCTGAAACTGTGTAACTGTTATTTGTGATATAAGCATTTTGCTTAAAACCCTCTCATCTGAATAATAGGTGACAGATTTTCATTTTTTGGTTTAATGGGTTTTCTGTCGTTCATCCGCAGGTGTCCAAGATCTCTATAAATAAATAGTGCTGTGAATGGATAAGATATAAAAACGATGTATCAATTTGGCTATTTTAGAGGGTACTTATTTTCACATTCTTCATAGAAGTCAGTGATTATGGGGACAGGGAGATTCAGGTAGTCCATTTGGATTTACAGAGGGTTTTCAAAAAGGTCTCTCACGAAGTTACATAGAAAGGCAACACCACACATGAAGACATGGGTATCTTTAGACTGAGCAGCAAATCTGTAGTGTGGAGGAGAGGGAATTGGGGATTAGTATGAGTGGCCTCTAAAATTATAAGTAATCCAGAGAATAGTGTGGAATTGTTCAGTTTTTTTAATAGGCAGATCAGCAAACTTGTGAGAATGCAGCTTAAAAACAAATCAGTATATTTTCACACAGCAGATTTTGAAATTCATTGGCAATTTTTGACTACCCAAACTAACTTGCAGTAGCTTGAGTTCAACACAAGAAATGCATGCAATTAAAGTTTGCATTAAATATAAAATAGTATTGTTTTAGAAAAATCCCTGAGCTAAAGGCTGCTTACAGCTGGGAAAGGGTATCCTTGGAGTATCCCTGATTTTATGTTCTTTCTCTGTCGGTCACTATCAGCCACTGCCAAAGCTGTGTTTGTTCAGGTGGATATCCTGATCTGGCACAGAATGGCTGCTCTTTGTACTATATGCCAGTATGACATTCCAACCTTGCATGCTATTGTGTTTTTGTCAGCGTTTTCTGAAAATTAAATACATCATTTATATTGAAGAAATAACGACAAACAATTTCCGCCTTGAAGCTGAAGCAGATTTATTGCTGACCATCATTATCTTCAGTGATCATCAGGTTTTTTAAAGCAGGTTATCATACTCAGATTCCTACCTGTGACTAAATTCCGCAGATTCAAAATTATTATCAAAGACTTCAGAAATATTTTAATGAAGATAAGTGTACAGTTAACCTCCTAAAACGTTGTAGTAAAACAATGGCTTGACAAGATAAATAACTAAAATTTTTCCTAATAAGTCACTAAGAAGAAGTGAAGAAAATTGTTTATTCTGGTATTGTGCCTATAAATACTGGAAGATATTTTAATTTCTCTGTTATTAGGTAGAGATGATGAGAAAATTCTTATCATGTCTATCAAGTAAAGCAGTTGTCTTTTGGCATGCCTTGGTTGTCTGTTACAGGAATATGTATGCAAAGTTGTAGTCACTCTACTGAAATGATTTCTCTAATTGAATGCAAGCTTGTCATTGTTGCTTTCTTCCTTAACCAGCTAAGGGAAGTAAAACATCAAACTGAGAAGTGCTGTAAATTTAAAACCAGGACACACTGCTTATTGCAAAAAGCCCCTAATAAATTCCCTGCTTATTACAGCACTTTTTTGGTCAGTTCTTGGTTTCTTCACTGCTTTTGTTTCCATTCAGTTCACTGTTGTTGCCAGATAGGTGTTTTGTCAAAATTACAAGCTGCTTATAAGTGAAATCGATTTTTTGCTTTCTTACCCTTTCCCCCACCTGACCACT